TGAAAAAAAAATATATTCTTAATCTGATCAATTTACACTTGTTGGCTTTTTGTAGGAGTGTCGGAATTGGATGTTGGTTGCTCAAATTCACCGTCGAACTGCACTATTGTCTACTTTTTTTTCTTTTTTTTTGCTGGTGTCAAAATGCACTAATATTACGGCGCCGGTGATTTTGGTCGGAGGAATAGAGAAGAAAAGATTGAGAGAAACAAACAGTTATATATATATATATATATATATATATATATATATATATATATATATATATATATATATATATATATATATATATATATATATATATATATATATATATATATACATATATATATATATATATATATATATATATATATATATATATATATATATATATATATATATATATATATATATATATATATATATATATATATATATATATATATATATATATATATATATATATATATATTCGATTACTTTAATTCGTTGTGAATTACGTAGATTTCGATAAGTTTGTAGTGAATTACATCAATATTACATAGTCTAGGAATTTGTAATTATACAGTGGTTTTCGTTAATTACAGAGTGGTTTTCGTTAATTTAATAGTGGTTTTTGTTAATTGATACTCCCTCCTTCCCTTAATATTTGTCACTTTTGCCATTTTTTTATATTTCAAATTATTTGTCATTTTACTATTCCAATGAATAATTAATTGTTATTTTTCAATTTTGCCCTTTCTCACTCATAATTAATTGAAATATAATTATTTAAAAATCAATTAATAGCATGGACATTTTAGTGATTTACTATACTTTTTGCTACTACCAATGCATATTTATTGAGTTTCTTAATATGTGTGCAACTAACAAAAGTGACAACTATTCAGGGAAGGAGGGAGTAGGTTTTAGTGAATTTTTGTAATGAAATTTGTTAATTACATAGTGGTTTTCACTAATTACATAGTGGTTTTCACTAATTACATAGTGGTTTTTCACTAATTACATAGTGGATTATGTTAATATTAATGTGGATTATGCTTATTTTGTACTCCCTCTGTCCCATATTATATGTCTTTTTAGAGAGTTTTTTTTGTCCCAAATTATTTGTCATTTTAGATTTTCAATGCATCATTAATTGTACTATTTTCAATTTTACCCTTTATCACTCCTAATTAGTTAGTTATAAAATAATTAATGTCAAGGATATATTAGTATTTTCCTATATTTTTCACTATAATCTATACACATTTATTGATTTTCTTAATATGTGTGCAACAACCCAAAACGTCATTTAAATTGGGACGGAGGGAGTAGTATTTTTTACTTTAATTTCATAGTGGTTTTCGATAAATTTAGTGGTTTTCGATGTGTATGTAGTGGATTTTAATTTTTTTTAAATATGAACCATTTAAAAAAGTAAAATAAAAAAAACTTATGTTTTAAATTAATATAAAAAACTATTTAAAAAAAAAAAAGACTGCATGTTATACGATTATGTTTTCTACCGTGATTTGGGGGAAGAGGGGCGAATTATAGGGCAATGTGATTTTGGGATTGATTTGGAATTGATTTATTTTTGGGAGATATTTGGTATTAATTTACCTTAATATTTAATTTAATAATTATACTAATAAGTAGGGGCATATATGGGTTTTTAAGTCCAATGGATTTATCTTAAATACCATTAATTAATTAAGGATTTATCAAGAATAAAAAATCCAATGGAGGGTGTTTGACATATTCCCCCTTATAATATTGACAATAGATATATAAAATACTTTTATTTAAGATATTGTAAGAAATAAGTAACTTTATAAACACATGACAATATCTTATTTAACAAATAATAAAGTAAATAAAATTAAAGCCATGTGTTCAAGTGGATGAGAAACAACAAAACTTAGTGAGTATACATGGTGAGTCGGTGGCCAACAACGCATCATTTTCTTATATACACAGAGTATTTTAAAATACACAGAAACTAAAATACACAAAAAAGATGCACGTGCTTCGCACGTGTTGGCTGAAAAAAATATATCATTTTTTAAAGATTGTTCATATATTTTTACCAATGCATTTGAATTGAAAGATTTGAATTTGAAAGACTTGAAATAACTCCAACTTGAACAATTTAAAATCCACCACATTGGCTCAGAAAATAACTGCAAATATATATATCAAAGTTCAGTTAAGTGTATGCCGCGGATAATATGCAAGTCAAAAATTTCTTTGTTCAATACCTCCAACATAAAAATACTAATTTTACCTTAATGAAATTCAAGACCATTAAAAACACAAAACATTAAAAATAAAAATAAAAAAATTATTCCCGTTGTGCTTGACCAAATAAATACATAAACCCACAAATTTATTCATTATTTAACTTAAAAATCTCCTTCTTCTTCTCATTCTTCTTCACGAATCCACCA